TCTTCAGCAAGATAGTACTCCTTCTCATACTTCAGCCTCCAGATAAGAGTTCCTGAAAGTAAAAGAGATCAAGGTGCTGCAGGATTGGCCAGCCCAGTCACCAGACTTAAACATTATTGAGCATGTCAAGAGTAGGATGAAAAAGGAGGCATTGAAGATGAATTCAAGGAATCTTGATGAACTCTGGAAGTCCTGCAAGAACATTTTCTTTGCCATTCCAGATGACTTTATTAGTAATTTATATGAGTCATTGCAGAGATGTATGGATGCATTACTCCAAGCTCATATGAGTCATACACAATATTCAATCTTTTTCTACAGCTTTTATATTCTATACTGTACAATATTTCTGTTAAGTGACAAGACTTTTGTCTCAGCAAAGTCAGACTTTTACTTTCCAAATTAAATAATTAAAAATCAAGGCAGGATCATATTTTATTTTGGCAAAATAAACATAATCCAGAGAGTTTTTCCTTTCATATATATCGATTCAGATACTAAATCATCAATTAAGTCAAGTTATTATTTGTTGTTCCTAAAATTTGGATAGGCGACAAGACTTTTATTTGGTAGTCTATATTTTTACAACTCTCAACACATTTTAGGTTAGGTTTAAATTTTATCTTTTTAAACCAATGATATCTTTACTTACACTTGACAGACTTGATGTGCATCTCATGAGGAATGTAACTATTTTTTACTTAATGCCAAAAACATGATTAATTTGTATGAATTCTTGAATGGATGGATCGATCAGCCGACAAGTAATGTCATTACAATGGCTGAACAAAACATTAGAGTAGACAAGTCTTGTCAATGACCAAAAATGCATATTGACAAAGTAAACAAGGTCAGTTCTGATTTTATTTTGACTTCAAAGCCTCAGTGTAATAGAAAAAGTAAAGCAGATTCATCACATGCTGATATTGCGTGGAGCACTGTTTACACTGGGAAACATCAGAAATGCAACAGGTGTTCAATTATTCATAATTCTGTGACCTTCTGAATAAAACATATACCCAAAATGTTTTGGGGAAAAGGGATGGGTGGGTGGGGGGGACGAGAAAAAAAAGACAGAACATAAAATAACATAAAAAAGAGAAAATAAAATAACAAACAAAGCTAAGGAGGCTTCCTTAAGGGAATCAATTAATTGTGGCAAATAATATTCCTTTTACATTACTTTATGAATGAATTAATGAATGAATCAATCAATCAATTATTCAGTCAAGCAATCAATCTCAGGGTTGTTGGTAGAAGGGATATAGCTGACAGAAGTTAACAATAATTATTTAGAGTATTCATTAAACCTAGGGGTCGGAGACAGCATACAGTTGAAGTCAGAATTATTAGCCCCGCTGTTTATTTTTTCCCCAATTTCTGTTTAAAGCCAAGAAGATTTTTTCAGCACATTTCTAAACATAATAGTTTTAATAACTCATTTCTAACAACTGATTTCATTTATCTTTGTCATGATGACAGTAAATAATATTTGACTAGATATTTTTCAAGACAAAAATTTTCAAGAAAATTTCACAGTATTCATTCATTCATTCATTCATTCATTCATTCATTTTCTTTTCAGCTTAGTCTCTTTATTAATCTGGGGTTGCCACAGCGGAATGAACCACCAACTTATCAAGCATATGTTTTACGAAGCGGATGCCCTTCCAGCTGCAACCCATCAATGGGAAACATCCATATATGCTCATTCACACACATAGACTACAGACAATTTAGCTTTAACAATTCACCTGTACCACGTCTTTGAAATTGTGGGGGAAACCGGAGCACCTGGAGGAAACTCACGCAAACACGGGGTGAACATGCAAACTCCACACAGAAACGCCAACTGACCCAGCTGAGGCTCGATGCACAGTGACTTTCTTGCTGTGAGGTGAATGTGCTACCCACTGCACCACCGTGCAGCCTTTTCTCAGTATTCCCTATATATTTTTTTATTCTGGAGAAGAATTTTTTATTTATTTATTTTTTTCATTTTTAAAGAAACATTTTAAAGTAAATGTTATTAGCTCTCTTTAGCAATAAGTTTTTAATTAACCTACCTAACCTAGTAAAGCCTTTTAAATGCACTTTAAGCTGAATATCAGGAACTTGAGAAATGTCGAGTAAAATAAAATCCCAAATCAGAAAAAGTTGGGACAGTACTGTATGGGAAACACAAAAACGAAAAAAAAAAAAAAAAGTTGTGATTTCTAAATTACTTTGACTTATATTTCATTGCAGACAATGCAACAAACATTACTTAATGTGTTCTTTTTAATTTTTGTATTTATTTACTTTTTTAAGATTCAAGGAATCTGGAGAAATTTCATGCTACTGTAAATGACCATGATCTCCAATTCTTAAGGTGGCACTGCATCAAGAATTGTCATTCAACTATTAAAATATCACCACATGGGCTCAGGCAGTGTTGGGCAGGCTACTTGAAAAATTTAGTGAGCCAAGCTTTTAGCTACTCTTCTTAAAAAGTAGCTTAGCTACATGAAAAGCTATCCTCTTGGAAATGTGGCAGAATGTGTAATGTGTAAATCATATGGATTTACTTTCATCAGCTAGACACCAGCCTCACAGCTCCGTAATCAGTGCCGTCACTTATTGATCCGCGATCTGTAAATGTGGCTTGTGTGGACGCTACTGCGCTACTTACTTAAAATAATAGCTTCGCTATAAAATAGCTATTTGATTTAGAAAATAGCGACACTACTGTCAAGCTACTGAGCAATGTAGTTAAGCTATTAGCGTCATTACTTGTAGCGATGCTACTGCCCAACACTGGGATCAGGACGACTTTGGCAAACCTTTGTAAAATCCCACAATAAGTAGTTACATCCACAAATGCCAGACAAAACTGTATTGTGCCAAAAGGAAGCCCTATGTTAACAGTGTCTAGAAGTGCCATCAACTTCATTTGGCTCAGAGGCATCTGGGATGGACCTTCACGCAGTGGAAATTTGTATTGCGGTCAGATGAATCAGTATTTTTTTTTTTTTGAGGGGGAGAAATGGATGATTGTGTCCATGCCCTTAGCAAAGCTAACTTACACTTCTGTGATGGCATCATTAATACTGAAAAGTACTTATTTTCCAGAGACACCAATGCATATTCCAACAAGACAATACAAAACCACATTCTGCACACATTACAAAGTCCTGGCTGCGGAGGATGATGATACAGGTACTTGTGTGGCCAGCCTGTAGTACCAACATATCTCCAATAGAGAGTGTGTGGCGCATTTTGAAGTGCAAAATGTGACAATGAAGATCCTGTACTGTTGCCCACTTTAAGACTTGTTTGCAGGAAGAATAGGACAACATTAAACTTTAAACACTTTATCACTTGGTGTCTTGGAAAAGGAATGGCAACATTACAAAGTAGTAAAAGCTTTACTGTTCTAACTTTTTCGAAATGTGTTGCTAGAAGCAAAATTGGAATATAATTTTATTTTGAGAAATAAACATTACGAGGAACACATTAAGGCCCAATTCCAATTTTATTTTTGTACCCCTACCCCCTCCCCTTAGCCCTTACAACCGAGGGTTAAGGGGAAGGGCTTAAAAATGTATCCCTAAGAATTGGGATAGCACCTGCACACGTCATCATATGTCCTAGCGATCTGATGTTTCATATGAGATTAGACAATCGTGACTGCGATAGTTATTCCGGTTGTGTTATTTTTTGGTATTTATCTTCAGGAAATCACTGAAGGCTTACAGTATATCATGTCATCACAACAATCTTATTTGGCAATAAGATCATAACTGTACTGTGTATTTACACAGTGGCCATATTCATCAATGTAAACACACCAAAACAACATTACCATTATAGCAAACACTGTAAAACCCCATTCCCAGCCACTAGACTTTTTTGACAGGGTATTCCAGTTTCATCGAGTGTCAGAATGTTGTGGGACTGCTGTACAGAAATTATTATTAAGGATTATAGATCGTGAATAGATTGCGAAATTCTGTGGTTTTAATTTTAGCAGGGTTTTTTTAAGCATGATGGTAAAACACTAACGCGGCTATGAATATATTAAAACACGTGTGATGTTGTAAAAAATCGTAATAATGACAAAAAATACTAATTAGTGGATCTCCTTACTTCTGGGTGCAGCTGTGGCTATGTATTCTATATTTTTCCTACCCCTTGGTTTCGAGTGTGGTCCTAAAAAATCTTTGTTTGAAGGGGTGTATACCCCTTGCCCTTGGCCCTACGCCTTCAAGCTTAAGAGAATTGGCACACCACTACCCCTTCATGGGCATGCACAAAACGGTAAGGGGAAGGGCTAAGGGGTAGAATTGGGATTGGGCCTGACTAATTTTGTTGTACCGTCTACAATGAAATACAAGTCAAAATACTACCTTCTTTTTTTGTTTGCGTTTTCATACTGTCCCATTTTTTCTGGCATGGGATTGTATTATGTAATGTCATCATGGCAAAGATAAAATAAATCAGTTATTAGAAATTAATTATAATAGCTATTATGTTTGTAAATGTGTTGAAGAAAATATTCTTTCCTTTTAGCAGAAAATGGGGGAAAATATACAATAATTCAGGGGGCTATCGCAATTTGACTTTAATATGTATTATCATTTGTGTATACCCCCATTCTAAAATTCAAATGCCCCTCATGTATCATGTAGGGTTACCATCTTAACATCTGTTGATCGTCTAATTCTTATAGCAGGTCATTCATTGACACTGCAGTGGACGGGAGCTTCCTCTCTTCAGCAGTCCCATCAGGCCATTACTATTCACCTCATCCCCTCTGTCTGTTTCTCTCTATCACTCAGTCTTCCACTCTCTATGCTCTCACTTGTGCTAGACAGATGAGATAACGCCGGCACCCTCCACATTATCAAGCCATCCATCCACTGCACCCTCACTGATATTATTACGCCTGGACATTGTGAGAGGGCGAGAATGTATGTCCTCCCTGCTATCGCCTCAACACTGTGCTGTCGTGCACTTACTGGTCTGGACTGGATTTCTTTGGCATACAGCGGCTGAAGGAATTCCGAATCGCCCTCAAGTTTCAGGCCTCTTTCAGTGATGCGCAGGTGACCCATGCCGTCCTGCAGAAAAAGGAGAGTAGAAAGAGGGCAAAGGAAAGAGAGGGAGAGATAAATTCAACAGTTTAATATCAACAATTAAATACAAAATCAAGAGTTCACAATTAACTGATGATTGATTATAAAGCTTGTTTGGCATGCTGTCCCTGGAGAGAGCCCTAAGCTCATAAGATCCTCGAGCCCAGGGCTCCCTCCCGTTTGCAAAGCGAGAGGGCAGTTTAAAGTGTTTGAGTGTTTCAAGATGTAAATGTGGATTTGACTCATAGACAGTGGCTGTTCTAGTTTAAATGGCACCCTGGGCGAAACCACTCCAAACATACCCCTTCCCCATCCCCCAAGAAATAAAGACATTATGTGGTTGACTTTATATATATATATATATATAAAATATTTTAATATATATATATTTTAAATATATAAATTTTAAATAATTATTATAAATATATTTAAATATGTTTATTTTCAATAAATATAACAATTTGTTTATTATTATTATTATTATTATTATTATTATTATTATTATTATTATTGTTATTATACAATTATTATTATAAATAAATAATATAAATCAATTCTAAACGGAACTGAAATACAATGTAAAGACACAACAGGAGTAATATTCTAGGACTTTTGCATACATATTAATTATGACAGTTTAAACTTTTGTTTTGTGTTTACCTTATGATTAAATATGTTCCATGTCCACCGGTTCCTACCTCTAAATGATCGAGTTTTAGCTACTTGTACATTAAGGTAGCATCCACAAAGAAATTCAGATACAGAGAAACCTAAAAACCTCCTGCCATCTAGCGTTTTGGAAGTGTTATAGCAGAGCAATACAAACAGTGTGAAGAAATATAAATGCACGACTATACGCAAGGCATGCGCCGTGGGTCACAGCAATCACTCGACTCAGAAGTATGAATCAGCCTTTAGTGTCAGCATCAAAGCTCAGAAGATATTTGGGGAAATTATTATCAAAGCCCCTCATCAACTCCAAAAGGTTTCACATGCAAACGGCCCTTTCCACATTCCGCTAATCATTAAATGTATGCAAATATGTTATGATACAGAGTCCCAATGGCTCAGTTTGCTGTTTTAACATTACCCTTACGGTAAACATGCACTGTGTGCTTTGAAGTCTGAAGCCTTTGGTGAGGAAACTTTTGCCACTTCCATCCCTTACATGCTCTTATCACCTTATTTAATAACATTCACATCAAAGGAACAGAGTGCCTGTCACAATTGTACCCTCCTTTGGTCTGTTGCCCATTTTCTTTGCACAACTGCCATTGACTTGAGCAAATACGTGGGGTGAGACTTATTTTGTATGGCTTCTGGGAAAATCTGTCAAAACTCTTTAAGGCATGCTGCTGAAATTTGCAGGTCTGCTTTTTGATTGAGAAGACACATTAGCATTAGCAAGTAGATAGGCATCAGAGACTGTTCTCACAGTCAGCATTTAGAATCACAGCCTAACGTAGCCAAAATGACGCCAATAGGTTTTCCCTTTAAATTTTAATAACATTTCACAATTTCATGACATTTTTAAAGTTCCATGAAACCTCCCCTGTCTCAGCAGAGTGTTTTCACACCTCTAGTTTGAAAACAGTCAGGAAAGTGGGTGAGTCCAGCTTTGTTTAGGTGGCGAAAGAGGGAAGGTTCTGCATGAAATGAGGAGTTTCATTACATGCACATGCTGATTTTTACAGAAGCAACACAAATACAGATGCATGAGAGATAGACAGTGACTACGGACATCAGTAATCAAATTATGTGCCTTAATCTGAATAAGACAATAATATGATTAAGGTGTTTACATGAGCTGCTTTTTGAATGTTAATTTTATGATCCCGTTTTCCACATTTTCATGGGTGTTTTGTTTTTGATTTGTCAACTTTAACTGCAGTTTGGCACTTTCATTCAGGAACATTTCATGCTTGCCCCCCATGACAAACAAGATATTGAATGCGAGTATGAACTGCTTGATGCAGAGACTCAGTAGGTGCAGAGAATAGTGTCAAACTGCTGTGTGCGTATAGTAGGGCTTGCATGACTACTGGTTTCTGCTTATCAGTTTCTTTTCAAAAATATACTCGAGTTACCCGAGTAAGTTGAAATTGAAAACACATGAGTGAAGTTTATTCATAAACTAATTTCGAGAGGATCACGTGCTTATGATTTATCAGGGCCAGTCTCGCATTTGCTAATCACTATCTTCCAATCATATGAGCCCTAAGCTACTATAAATAGCCACAGTTTTCAGTTCACTTTATCTTCGCTTGGAAGAAACCCCCCTCCTCCCCTATTCTCCTCCTTTACCTGTGATTGGGTGGCATGGTGGCCCAGTGGTTAGCACTGTGAGCCCCACAGCAAGAACACTGCCGGCCCTGGTTCCACAGGACCGGTGGGTGTTTCTGTGAGGAGTTTGTATGTCCTCCCCGTGTCCGCGTGGGTTTTCCCCGGGTTCTCCGGTTTCCTCCCACCATCCAAAGACATTCAACATGCATAACAATCAAGCTTGTCTAATCCCTTGTGTTCCCTTAGCTACCGCAGCAGGGGAGTTCTGAGATCCATCGAGCTCAGGCTCCCCTCTTGCTCTGCCAACGGGAGGAAGCCCCGGGCTCGAGGAGCCCTTGAGCTCGGGGCTCTCTCCCGGGACAGCATGCCAAACAAGCTTTTGTAAATCATCATCTAAGTGTGAACTCTTGAAACAAAATATTAATAATACTAACTAAAAAAAGCTGTAGGCTAATTATTACATTTAATTATACATTTAATGAAGGCTATAGAAATTAAAAGTAGCCACACCTGAAAACTAAAATGCGTCTTGAAAACTCATGACACAGTATTCATAAAACTAAATCAAACAATAATAAAATTATTCAAAACTAGGCTAAATCTCATTCAATCATTAATATTCTGCGACAATTCAACAGTTATTAAAATAACTAAATGAATGTATATATTAGCTTACTTCAACAAGCCTGAAGATTACGCAAACAACCATGTGCGCGCAAGTAATAGTCTGTTACGCAACAAGTAGTCTGATAGTCTGAGAAAAAAAAAAAAAAAAAACTCCAATATTTAAGTTTCCAGCAGTGATAACAAGAATGAAAATTATTTTGGTTCAGAAAAGAAATAGTTCAACAAAAGACAATAGCAAATACAGCCAAACACAAAATAAATAATAAATAAACTATTAATAAATAAATTATTTAAACAAATGAAAAATATATATTAAAATAATAAATACAAAACGCATAGACACGGTAAACAAACAAATGATAGCATGATATTTTAACAAGCAGACATAATGTAGAGAAAAAAATGAGAGAAAATATATTTCATATTTAAAAGTCATAGAAAAAAACAGCAACGCAATTATAAATAAAAGGCGCGTCTTTCAATTTTATACCCTAATATTTTACCCTGTTTTCAACAGAAATGAGGAATAGAATCCAACTTCAACCGACTTATACAGATCACAAGTTATCCCCGCTATCATCCTCTAGCCACAGACAGTCTTCGGTCAAGCTTGTGGATGGTTTGCATTTGGAAATACAAGTGCATCCACCTGAGAGGGATGCAGGCTTGCTCTTTGCCTTGTTACAGTGTTGCCGAAAATTTCTTTCACCTTGTATGCGGATTGCAGAGATAGCAAGAAATGATTTCGCTAGCTTGGATAGTAGAGAAAATCGATGTTCATTGCATAACCACCATTCGAGAGGATTCCCTGTGGTGTTAATGAAAATAATCTTGAATTTAATCCACAATTGTAGTTGGCTGCTTTAATCTGTGTTGGCTGTTTTTGTTGGATACATTTGTCTTTTTTATGTCATTTATGGTAAATGCATGCTTGAGTAGTCGATTGTTTCTGAGAGCACCGACTAGTGGTTGAAGTAGTCGATCGCTCGACTAGTCTATGCAAGCCCTAGCGTATAAACTATCTTGTCACCAAATGCAGCAAATGGTGCAAATCCTACATGACGGTACTAGTTTGATTGTATGTTTACATTTGGAGAGCAGCATTTTAAGCAGATCTTTCAGTCCATAATATTGTAGTGATATTAACATACTCTAAACTTAGTAACTAAATCTTTTTGACTAAGGTATGTCTTTAAATACTGAAAGAGTACTGCTGACGATACTAACTAACTCTACCAAATGAATAAACAAGCATTGAATGTTGATTGCACACTTATTAAATCTGTAAAGACAGAACAATTAACAGGAACTGGAAACTAGTCTTAATTTAAAAGAATGATGTGAAAAAAAGATGTGAAAAAAAAACTCTCTGGTAAAAAAATGTTCCTAACACACATACATTTGTTGCGTGTTAGCAGACCACTGCAATCCACAAATGTTGGTTCACACGCGAGCAGTGCTCCCGGAACAGGGAAATGGAAACAAAACCTTTGTTAAGGCACATTTATAAACACAACACTGACGACCCGTGTCTCCGAACAATTCTTCTTCCACTTGTTTTAATTACGCTTGGCAACACAACGTGGTGTCTCTCGGAACACTCTACCAGGTTTAAAAGGTCTTCTAAGGTATATTATGCACATTAACGAAGTTGCACCTCATTTACAATAGAGCGCGCTGATTTGTTCGAACCAAGTCTTTCTCATGAATTAATGCTGAAAACTCAAAGACCTCATGTTGTACCCGCTGGTACAGACATCTCATCTCCAAACTAAAGTTTACACAATGATCACATGGCCATGACGCAGCTTCAAAATTTATTTTCAAACCAGAAGAATTTGTTTGAAATAACATAAAAACAACCAATTTTCACTTGTTAGTAAAATATATGTTATAAAAGGGTTTTTAGCATCGTATGCCTGTCAGCATCTTAAAAAATGTGTTTTGGTGTTTTGTGACCCTTTAAAATGATCTGTATTTACACATCCGTAAAAACAATGAAACCACTGTATTACATATGCTAGGCCAGTATATGGCACTGTTCGCCTTTAGTAAAGTGTATGTCTACACATACA